TTCAGCTTTGTGGTTATTGCTACTTTGGGGTAAGTTGAAAGCATCCGTGCACGTGACTTTTATAACAGCTTCCTCTTTTACCAAGGTTAGACTTATTTGGATTAAATTACGTGTTCCGCTCTTATCGACGAAATTAAGGCGTGATCCTTAAATACTATTTCCTATTAGCTTCAGTCTTTTAACTTAAACAAGTAAAAAAGATATTGAATAAATGAGATTATATTTTCACTTAACGATTGACAAAGTTTGGTGTAAAGGATGCACAGTGTTATTTAACGGCACAGACTCAGGACTGTCTAAATATTATCCTTTAGTGAGTTCTTTAGTGAAGGTTTTCTTTATATCAATAAGAATGTGTGGTTATAGTAAAATACTTGAATTAGAGGAGAACTGAGCAGGTGCCCCTCTGGTCCCTTTAGACTGCATAAGCGCTAAACGGGAATGTACAGCGCTAAAGGGTATGGTCTTTTTATTCCATTTTGGGTCTGAAATAGGTATATTTCTTCGTCACTCAAGAACAGTGCCAAAGTGTGAATTAGGGTAAGCGGGTTACGGTTATAGGGGGGCCTTCCCGACAAACCTCTGCGAATTGTGGATTATTATATGTTTCTGGAAATCTGCTCACCTACATCTTCCCTAAGACGACAATTTGTCCAGGGTACACTCCCAGATCTCTGTACAGCTTCAGTTATGCTTGCGTAACGGAAATGGTCAAGCTATTAATTACTAAATTAATGCAAATTGAACGTCAATGTAAAACGTTTGGCTGTTGACAACGTAATCATGGTTTGAACCAATATGTCCAATTTCACACCCTAACAAGAAACGGTGTTTGTTCCTAAATTATCGGTGAATTCGCGTTGTTAGAATATATTTCATAAGAATATCGAGGCTGAAATTTGCAAAAATTTTAAGAATATTATACGAATAAACCCGAGGCGGATATAATTTTATATTGTTGTTTTTCAGGTCTAGGCTAAATATTCCTATTTTCTGCCGAATTTAGGCTTAAATGTTCTTTTATTATCCTTAAATTAAAGCTTAACGGGTGAGTGATCCAAAGCTTATGTCATTTCCGTTTTAACATGTATTGCATAGAGTATCAAGGTACCGGTTCAACGAGCTCTTATACGATTGCACTGAAGATTTGGCATTAGTTAAAGTGGTTATTTTTGAGCTTGCTTGCTAGTTTTCCCGTTTAGAGAAGGAAATAATTAATTATACCACTTAAGCTAAAAACATATTTTTGATTAACTATATTGAAAGGCCTTGAAAGGGAAAACCCCCTTTAGTAATATGGCATCGCCATTTCTCGCCCACTGAGCATAACTTGAAAATATAAGAGGAGATATACGTCTTCCCTTTTAGAGTGTTAAAAAAAGGTCGCTTGACCATCTGAACTATTAAAGCCGGAAACTGTAAATATCCGCTGGAATACTGAAACCAAGCTTTCAGCGAATCTTTTGGCTCAGGCAACGGATATGAAAGTACTTTCGATTTAAGGTTGATCTTTCTTTCGTTAGCATGATATTTTCAAGGTTTTATAGAAACAATTTATAGGTTATTCACTCTTTAGCTCTCCGTGAATTTACAAAAAATCAAATAAATTTATGAAATATAGCTACAACAGATTGATCTGGGAGGGTTTTAAAGGGGGCTTCATGAATCCAACTTTAGTGAGGCCTTTAGTGTCCGGGTGAAAGCGATAACTATTAGTAGCAGCTCTTTGCACAAAATACTGACTAGTTTAATAGTTCAAAACTTTTGTATGTAAGATGAAAGGTATCGCTTTGCCGTTGCCTGAGAATAGGTTATGTACGGGATGTCAATACAAATTATCGTTGGGCCATTTCCAGTGCCGGTCTACAGCAGTTTCAATTTAGTACGCTCGATCTAAAACAGACGGTTGTTAAGTGTTTTAGCGAGCTATGTTGTCTTAAAGCTGATAAGAGTCTGAGTCTGATAACTGTCGGAGACTCGCGAATGCAGACTAGTGTTAACCTGAGATCAGGCGTTTTTTTTTTTTTTTTTTTTTTTGCTTGTTTGTTTCTTTGGCTCGAGAGGGGAAAAAAATAACGCCTGATACATTCATTTAAAGAGCCGTTAACCGCCCCTTAATTTACATATCTAACGTCTCCTTGACCTGTCATGTTATTAGCCAATAAGTGTTTACCATACGGGAATCAAATTTTGGCGCAAATAATGTCTCCTTTGAAATCAATTTTAGGGAAAAGAAAATTTTTAAGTGCGTCCATCTTCAGATGGCGCTTCCTAAAAAGAATTTTGAATGTGTTCAAATACTGCTAGCTGGAGCTGCCGTACCTTTATTTCACAGCTACAAATAATAAAGGATTTACTGGTTAAAGCTCGTTGTCTTCGTTCTGAGCCGAAAGCGGTGAAATAAAAATTAGGCTGAAGCACCATATTTTACGAACTGAAAGGTGTTGTGAAAGTGAAGACTGGCTCAGAATAATTCGCAGGTTTCTGAAGGAGGAATTACAGTCAAACCACGTCAAGATTCCATTCATGAATTGATTATTTGAAAAGTGAACCCTTCTGTAACTTGTAGCCGCTATCAAATTGTATTCAAATGATCGGTGAATTTTTGACTGCAACTTTTTAGTATACGATGAGATGGAAAATATTTCAATGGGTGAAATTTCTATTTGGGCATTCTTCAAATTTAAGAAATTTAAGAAAACTGAGCTGACAGAAATTTTATAACGAACTCGCGTGTGTATTCACAACTCATGACGCAAGCAAAAATGCAGACTGAAATCAACGACAACTAACGGATGGCGGCATTTTGGCCAATTGGAACAGCGCAAATCACCCGTATTGTTTCCTATTCAATCAGAAAAAAGTCCAGATTCTGGCTTTTTTACTAGACTAGTGTATACACTGACAGTTACGTATTAACATGATGTATGTAACGTATTACATATCGGTATTGGTTTGCCTGTAAAAGCGAAAGTGTTACATGGTTTCGTTAAATATGCTATTTTATGCTCTCCCAACAGGAAATTTGCTTCATTACATATCAGGTAGGAATGACGTTTTACATGTTTCCCGATCGCATGAATTCCTCACTGAACGGGAACTTCCTGTCTGTATCGTTTTCCCGAGAAATTCCTTTCCCGGTGCATTTCCAGCAAAGTGTAATCATGGTAATAGCTAGACTGTTCACAGGCCTGACATTTTTACAATACAGGAAACAAAGTAAAAGCAACAATTTACTCACTCAGGAGCCTATCCTGCCCACTATGATCGAGTGAAACAAGTTTTGACGGTAGATACCACAGGTTAGGCAACTTCGTCAAACTTACAATAAAACATAAATTGGAAAGGAGGTTTGAGGCTTATACAACAGTAAAAGGAATTGACTACTCAATACAGAATGATTAACAATTAACTTGATTTACTATAAACATGCTGAGACATACTTACTGAGAAGCTCTCGTAAACGTTCAGACGCAAATAAGTTATGGTATTTACCGCCCTCTCGCCATTTAATGGCGTCGGCATAAATACCTTACGCACATTTTTCAAACAGTTTTTTTAGATTATGCCATGTCTGCATTTTTCACTTATTTAGTTCTTTATTTTATTTTTTGTTCCTTTTCATCTCAGGGTGGGATCCGACTGTTGAATATCTCATCAGTAAAGAATAATCAATTTTAATGGTAAAATTCTAGAGTGAATTGAAAAAAAAAAAAAAAAAAAAAAAA